TTTAATGTTTCCATGATTACTAAAATCCTAAACTACTTCAACATTAGAGTGCCAAATCTTCTGTTTAAATCTCATGGTCAGGTTCAAAAGTTCTCCCAGTGGACCTTAACCAACATGGGATACTTTTGGGATGAAAAACTTCGTGTGTAATATTTTTGAATGGGCAAGTATGGTAAGAAAATTTACAACTTTGATGGCCCTGTTGAGTTTCATGATACAACTGCTGAGAGGCATGTGATTATTGACCAACCCATTGGTGCTTCTCATGGTGTTTCTCAAGGTGATGAATTTATGGAAGATGTTAATTATGAGGATGGTCAAGGAAGCATATTTTGTAATGAATATGGAGATCAACCTTCCATTATGGATATGCTTCAAAATATGCAGATTAGGCAAGATGAGCGTTATGAGGAGGAGTGTCAGAGGCGAGATGTTTTTGAGGCAGCTCAATTGGAACAATTTCGTCTCGTGCAAGAGCATATGACATCACAAGATACCAACTTTGATGTCTTTTCCTCATATGTGACTGAAAGGTTTGTCTCTATGCGGAGTGAGATGAATGTTAATCATGCTGCCACAATTGCCAGGATAAATCACTTGATTGCTGCTCAAAATGAGAATCACCACCACTAAGCTCAATTCTACCGAGAGATGTGTGATTTCTTGGATCATCAGTTTAGAAATGATGGACAAGGTTGGAATCATGGAGTGAGTCCAATTACTAGAGGTCGTGGAGGATGCTGAAGTGTTGAGTCTTTGTGTCATTTATGTTCAACATCGTGTGGAACTTTTCTGTCATGCATTTCAGAGTTTAAGTCATCATGTATTTTATGTTTTTCTTTTGTTTTTTTTTTTCTTTTAGCTTATGACTTGGCAATGTCCCTACTATTTTAATTTGATATAATGGTTTTACTATGTGTATTGCCTTGAATGACTATTATGAAATGTTATTATATTGCCATTTTATTTATGTTGTGTTGATTTCTGTTGTGTATCTTCATATATGTATTGTATATGTGGATGCACATTGTTGTCTTTGCAAACACCTCTGTATGGTATATTTAATATGTTCCATGTAGTATCTATGTGATACTGCTAATGTGCTTGCTTTGTATCTTTTTGATGTTGTCAAAGGGGGAAAGCATGTGCATTTATGAAGCTATGATGCATACATTCAGAAGGAACCTTCATGGACACGAAACGTGTCATCTCAAGTTTTGCCATCGTCAAAAAGATGGAGTATGTGAGTGCAACTTTCCATTAGATCTATTTTGTATGATGTCAAAACTAAGATACTTTAGCATTTATGTACATTGGATGGTATCATCTGAGTCTAGTTGTGCATTTTAGGATTAAGAAGCATGAGAACATGTTGGAAAAGGTTTAGAAAAGATTCATGCATCAAGAAGAGGTTTTATGCATCAAAAACTCATTTTTATGTGAAAAACAACCTACATGTCGACACATACGCCAAAAATCTTGAAAATATGCATTGTTTTTCATTCCTTTTGCTTCATTATTGCTAACATATATATACCTATTACATGCATCATCTCTTTTCAATGATTTTAATAAAAATCATAAACGAAACCTAGAACATACAAAGAGTCTTCTTTATCTTCAACCTTAATTTTATGCACGTACACAAACAAATTACACATAATTATTCATTGTTTGCGTGCCATCTTGAATCAAGTTGATAACGTCTAATTTATCTTGTGGTCTTGTAAATTGGGTTGAGATCTTTGGGGGGTTTCAAATAAGAAAATTATTGTGGGGTTTTCCTTCAATATAAAATTGGGGATTTGAAGATTTTGGACAAGATTACGCAATTTGAATTCGATCGAGTGAAGTCTTTAAAGATATGAGGGTTCTTTCAAAGGAGTAGCATGAGACGCTGAATCAAATTGGTAAATCTTGGGTTACAATAATTCAAAATTTGGATTTAATTGAGTGAAGGCTTTGAAGAACAGTGATTCTTACAAAGGATTAGCGTGATTCGGTGAATCAAATTGGCATTGTTGGGTGACTTGATAAAGATCAGATCAAGGGAAGAGAAAGTGTTATGATCAACATCAAACATATGGTTTTTAGGGTTGCATTGCTACATTTCTCTTGTAAAATACAATTTGCAAAGTAAGGTTAATTTTATTATCTCAATTCGAGTTTGAATTGAGGGCAAACGTACCCATAGTAAGGTCGATTGGGAAGCTGCCTAAAAAAATTCTTATGTACTCTCTCTCTCTCTCTCTCTCTCTCTCTCTCTCTCTCTCTCTCTCTCTCTCTCTCTCTTACATTTCATTTGCAAATTATTGAGTTCATCAATTTTGCAATTAATTTGTTTGGTTAATTCTTTTGAAAACCATTTAAAAAATGTTTTGTTGAATTGATCACAATCTTTTAGATTGTGGTTGGATTTTAAGATTAACAAAATATACAAATTTTCAAACAAAATCGATTGCACACAAGGTGTTTGATAATTTGTCTCAATAGTATTTTTATGTGATTTGTCATTGAAAGTAGTATTACTTGTTGAGTAGCTTTCAAGTGAGTGTGGTTAATACATATTGATTAAGTTTTTTTTATCATTATCTTAAATTGGTTTTCATATACGCATATCTGAGCTTTTCGATAACGGTTTGGTTTAGATGAATCGATCCGAGTCTCTTTCGATATCCATTATTTTTTAAAACAGTTTTTGTAAAGCAAATTTTTGGGGATCTATTCACCCACCCTCTTGATAAGTTTCCTTCGTCTAACCGTTTGGACCTTTGTGCATGGGCCTAATGGTTCTTCAACACTTTTACACCATGGTTTAGTTCGCTCACCCCTTCCTGACTGGAAGGTTTGCGGACATAGGGCCACGATTAGTTGCCCCTAAGAAATTTTAGTTGGCTGCTTTGTTTTTTTTGTTGTTTTTTTAGTTTGTTTTAACAAAGAATCAACATAAGAGTTGGTAGTTTTTGTGAGGTAACTTTTGGTATATTATTTTCATAAATAAAGAGAGATTAAGAGTTTTACAAAAAAAACACAAAAATATTTCTAAAGCTTTTAGAGATAGATTTTGGCATTGTGGTTTGAATTGCTTGATTCATCCTAATATGCTTGCTAGTATGACTATTAATGTTTGATCCTTTGTTTGTATGGCTACTTATTTTGACAATATTGATTATTAAGCAAGATAAAAATAAGTGCGTGATAAAATCAACTTTTCAAGATAAGTTCAAACGCTTGATCGACATCAAGTCGCTTCTTCACTTTTTTTCACTCGAGCCAATTTCTCATAATCAACTTCAAACACTTGATTCATCGTCAAGTTGTTAATTTTCAAAATCATCTTCATAATAAACTGGAATGAAAGAGAATGTGATTGAGTTTAGACCTCTTCCCTTTCTGAATACTCGAATGCTGCTGTAGAGCTCACTATTAGGGTATTTGTCTTCCTACTAAAATACAATAAAATAAACAAATCTTGGTTCATCACATATTTTCTTAATAACCTTTTTTGGATGAAAAGAAGGTGATTGAGTTTAGACCTCTCCCTTTCTCGAGTATTTAGGTACTGCTGTAGAGCTCCCTGTCCAGATGTTCATCTCCACATAAAATCAATTTAACTCATCAAACCTCTTTTTCACCTGTGTGCGACTTTGAAAACCTTTTTAGAAATGAGTGAGTTTTAGCAACTTTTGATGTGAAACAAATAAAGGCTTTAGCCTCCTAGAGCAAGCAATAAGCAAATGTTTAACCGTACAAAATGTCTAAACACATCACTCCTTAAAAGCAATTAACCAACACGTGATTTTCTACTTAAAACTACGTGGTCTGAGTTCCTCATTGTAGCAGAGGATACATATGATCGAGATTCATCTTGTCAGACCCAATAAACTAAAAACAAAAACTCTTTCTTTTATTTTTCCTCACATAATAAGTAGAAGACCGCAAACGACTCACACTAACACTCATTCTCAAAACTAACTAAATGAGTATCGTTGAGTATAACGGATGTGAGGTGTGCTAATATATTTTTCTTGCATAATCGACTCCCGAATCCGATCTGGTTGCGACGACCATTTTCCTTAACTTAAACAGGTTTTCTCGATATTTTCATGTTCCTTTTGAACAAATAAAGATCGGTGGCAACTTTATTGTTGTTAAGTGCTCAGGTATTTTTCGTGTCACAACACACGCGATAGTCGAAGATAGCTATATATTATGTTATGTAGTAGCTATGTATGTCATCTGTAAGTGTTAACTTCATACATAACATACATACACTAGTAGTCTATAAATAGGTTACTCTCTTACTTATTAAAAGAGAGGTTGATTGTTAATTTTCATTTATAATCATTTAACGCTCGTTGAAAAAGTAAATGTAAAAACCGTCATAACCAACTTTATTCTCTTTTCTTTTTCTTCTCCATCTTCTTAAATTGAACAGTTACTTATTTGATAAAAAAACTCTCCCTTTCTCTTAAATATACTTTATTCCTGACGTCTATAATGACAAACACATATAATTTTTAATTGAATCAAAAATTACATTCCCTCCATCAATTAATTTTGTTTTTCATAATTTTAATGATAGACCAAATAATTGATTTGATGATTATAAAACAGAATCTCAATAAAAATCTAAAATGAAATCAATTAATTCCTAATCATCACTTTTGTTTAGCCATTTATCTTCTTCAATAGTTGAACACGATAAATCATAAGAAAAACATCTTGCTAGCATGATAAGATAATCTTCAATAGTTGATGTGACAAATACAAACACTATGAACTCCACCGTTTGGCCAAGTAATCTCAAACCAATATCTCACATATGACACGTTTGCAGCATGCACATGTACGTGGCATTGTCATGCCATCATATGCATTCTACTTGCCACCTATTCCTCTCCTTTGGAGTCCCTACATATTTATATATATTCCAATTCAAACTCAAACTCTCATCACATACAGTATAACACTTATCTTCTGTTTCAAACCCTGCAAAAATGGCAACTAACGAGCCTAAGTTCCCACCTCAGAGCCAGAAAACTCAACCAGGAAAAGAACATTTAATGGAACCACTACCACAAAGCATAAATCCTAACCACAAGCCCTCCAACAAACTAAGGGTAGGCACCAATCCTATACATGAATACTTTCTTTTTATGTTGTTTGTTAATATGTGAAGATAACTATTTTGTATAGGGAAAGGTGGCGTTGGTGACCGGAGGTGACTCAGGTATTGGAAGAGCTGTGTCTCTGATATTTGCAAAAGAAGGTGCTACAGTGGCCTTTACATACGTGAAGGGTCATGAGGAGAGGGACAAGGATGAAACATTGAAGATGTTGCTAGAAGCCAAGACAAGTGATGCACAAGAGCCATTGGCAATTGCTGCTGATATTGGTTATGATGATAATTGCAAACAAGTGATAGAACTTGTTGTCCAAGAATATGGACACATTGATATTCTTGTCAATAATGCAGCTGAACAGCATCTTAAAGACTCAGTTGAGGAAATCACCGAGGAACAGCTTGAAAGAGTCTTCAGGACCAATATCTTTTCAAACTTCTTTTTGGTCAGGTAAGTAGCACCGACACCTGTGTCTCATATGATATTGATATGATATCAGAATTTGTGTTATATATGCAGGCATGCTTTGAAGCACATGAAAGAAGGTGGTTCAATCATAAACTCAAGTTCAGTGAACGCGTACATTGGAAAAGCAGAAACACTGGACTACACATCGACGAAGGGAGCGATTGTTGCATTCACTAGAGGTCTTGCTCAGCAGCTGGTGAAGAAAGGAATAAGAGTGAATGCTGTTGCTCCAGGTCCAGTTTGGACGCCGATTCAACCGGCTAGCATGCCTGGTGAGATGATAGAGAACTTGGGGTCTGAGGTGCCAATGAAACGAGCAGCACAGCCTAGTGAGATTGCACCTTGTTATTTGTTCTTGGCTTCCCTTCAAGACTCTTCATACTTTACTGGCCAAGTTCTCCATCCAAATGGTGTGTGCATTTGTTTAATTATTCTCGTTTTTGCCATGTTTTTAGATTTTTTTACTTATTCTAATATGGAGTTGTTAATTTGCAGGTGGGTTGATTGTGAATGCTTAAGTATTAGGCTGGTGTTGTATAGGTGCTTTGGGAGGGTGTTGTTGGGTTTGGGTTATGTTATGATGCTTCCTTCAATAAGGTGTCCATATATTGGACTATATGATCAACTTTAATTTTGATATATGTATATTTTGAGTTAATTAAAATATTTTATCTTTAAAAGACCAAAAAAAACTTATGTTTGGATTGGAGCATATGAGAGCTCAATTGAATACTTTTTATGCTTTGGATTGGAGCATATGAGAGCTCAATTGAATATTGAATCTCATATTCATTGTTGAATACCTAATACCTAATTACATCTTATGATACTTTTAATACGGATATTAACTTTCATAAGTTAGTTATTCTACAATCTTATGACACTTTTAATATGGATTTTAACTTTCATAAGTTAGTCGTTATTCTATTCTATGTGGAATATTATATCAATATTGAATTAAAAAAAAATTCAAATTCTTTTTTCTTTGAAAAAAGAAGAAACTTTTTATCTCATTTTTTTTTTAAGGTGAGATATCTTATCTATAGTTCATCTTACTATATTCACTTTACTATATAAAGAAATGTTGCTTTCATTTCAAAGCACACTATTTTTATTTATTTTTTATATTTTTTTTCTGTATATTCTTATAACTCTGTATTGCATTTTCTGAATTGTCAAACTACCAATTTCTCTCTTTCTATCTTAAATTTTCAAGTACTTTTTTGAATTCTTTCTAGAGTATTATGTTAATTTCTCTATTTGAATTGAGAAATTATCTAATATAATTTTGGATTTTTTTATAGCAAATTTCTCTTGAAATTATTATGAGTGGTCATCATTATTGAATTTTTTTTAAAAGAGAATTATTAAATTTTTTTAGGTTTAAGAAATTGTTATGACTAGTCATTATACTAGATTTTATGTGATATTTAAATGGTATTTGTAGTCCGATTACAATAGAAATGTATTACATTTCTATTTATCGAAAAGTGTATTTCTAATTCGATTACGATCGAAATATTTTTCTATTTAAATGGTCTTTGTATCATCGAAAAGTGTATTTTTAATTTGATTATGATAGAAATGTATTCAAGTATTTCTATTTAAATGGTGTTTGTATCATCGAAGATGGTCTTTGTATCATCAGAAAAGTGTATTTCTAATCTGATTACGATCAAAATGTATTTTTATTTAAATGGTCTTTGTATCATCGAAAAGTGTATTTCTAATTCGATTAGGATCGAAATGTATTTCTATTTAAATGGTCTTCGTATCGTTGAAAAGTGTATTTCTAATTCGATTACGATCGAAATGTATTTTTATTTAAATGGTCTTTGTATCGTTGAAAAGTGTATTTTTAATCTAATTATGATCGAAATGTATTTCTAGTCTAATTTTATTTTATTTTGGAGGCGTGTTTTGTATAGTTTTAGAAAATGCAAAAAACGTCTTAAAAGACTCATTGTTCCAAGTGAATTGTTCCCAGCCTTGGGATAACTTCTATTCCTTTTAAAATTTAGAAATAACAATTTTTGATCAAAAACTTGATGGTAACTTTTTTTATGTGAATATTATTTCGAAATTTAAAAATAACAATTTTTGATAAAAAAATTGTTGGCTACCAAAGGTGGTAAATTTTTTTTATGTGAATATTATTTCAAAATTTAAAAATAAAAATTTTAAGATGTTTCAAAAACTTTTGTGGCTATCAAAGGATAGTGATGATAATAGCAAAATGGATATGCCGGCTAAAATGCTAAAATGAATCAATATAGTCATTTATGGGTTCTATGCGAAACTTGTTCTAGCTTAAATTTTAAACAATTTTTAGTAGCCAAAATGTGTATTTGCGAATACTGTGGCAAGCATCTGAAAATGAGAAATTCAGATAGAATCGAACTTTTGATTGATCCAGGTATTTGAAATCCTATGGATGAAGACATAGTTTCATGTGAATATTCATGTTTTTTTTGGATCAACCGAACAGATTAATGGTAACAAAATTAACTCGTATGAATTATAGACTCATTTGCAAAAGCTAAAGCAAATAATTTATAAATATGAAAAAGAAATATCTATTTCAAAAGATAATAGTTGCAAAAGCTAAAGCAAATAATTTATAAACATGAAAAGAAATATTATTTGAAAAGATAATGATTGTCTTTGTAAAAATCACATTTTCAACGTGTTGCAATTGAAAAATAGTTGAATGACACTTTTACTAAGGTATTAGATGCAATCCACTTTGAAAAGTTAAAGGGTGCATTAAGTGTTTATTTATAAGAATCAATAGTTGTCAAAGCCGAGGAGGCGCGTAGGAAAGTCTCTCTCTTTTTGTATGTGCAGTATGTACACAACTGATTTACATTCTTTCAAAATCTCATTTTATATGGACTTTCGTTACTATCAAGAACCGCCAAATTATTTGACATTTTTACTAAGGTATTAGATGTAATCTATTTTGAAAAGTTAAAGGGTGCATTAAGTGTGTATTTATGAGAATTAATAGTTGTCAAATCCGAGGAAGCGTGTAGGAAAGTCTCTCTCTTTTGGTATGTGCAGTATGTACATAACTGATTTACATTATTTCAAAATCTCATTTTATATGGACTTTCGTTACTATCAAAAACCACCAAATTATTTTATCTAGATCTTAGAAAGTTGTCGTCTTTTCTCTTCTACAATTGTTTATCTATTTCAAAATGTCGGAGAATCTAAAAAAGCAATCTCCAACACATGAATTTCTATCATGAAGGCTATTGACAAATTTCACGAGGATGGAAAGAAAAAGAAAACATAAATTGGTTCTAACTTTTCTACAAATGGTGTGAAGATTCATGATGGATTATCAAGTGAAAAATTTGTGTCTGTGAAGACATTTGTGACCAAGATGAAGTTCATGAAAAGGATACCAGTTTAAACTCATGAATCTGACTCAGAGGTTGATGAAGAATGGGTAACCTACATGAACTACAAAGGATGGATTGAGGAATGAGTTTGAATACTCTTGATTCTAGACATTCTTAGTTTTTTTTTTGTCCTTGTATTTGAGCTTGGTTTACTTCTTTGTCCTGGATTTGTAATGGCATGATAAGCCTTTCTAAACTGTGTACCAATCATTGTCATGATGTTCTAGCATCATTGCAACCGAACCGTTTTTCAACATTCGAAGGAAATTGGAGATACTTGATATCTTAAATCTTGTCTAAATATAATTTTTTGCATGCACTTTATATTCTTTTGCTCTAACCTTCCTTGAAAGTTTAATTACATGCAAGTGCATGTCTTATCAACTCCTAATCAAGGTAATATTGTTCCATTTTCTCCCTTTGAAAGTAAGACCTTTACTTTTGTATGTTATATATATGTTCCATATGCTTGATATCCTTGATGCATAAAATATATCATATTTGTTCACTTCTAAAAATTTTAATGATATATTTCAGTTTACATGTTTATAATGACTTCATGTTGTTCTCCCTCCATACTTGAAATTTGGTGCTTGGGTATGAGAATATTCTCTATTATTAGCTCTTACATGATATATGTGATGATGTTGTATTTATTCTAACATGAAATATGATTGAACTTGTTATAATGTTAACAAAACTCTTGTAGTGTGTCATTGTTATGATAACATCTTTATTTTTGGTTTGAGTGGTGATAAATATATATATCGCCTTGCTAGAGCACATGCGTGTGCAGCATTTCGGGAGCACCAAAGGCATATGTCACATAGTTCTGTTGTCTTTGTTGATCAAGAGTTTTTTATTACATTATATCCTTCTTTCTTCATGTCTTTGTATATTATTTGGCATAAGTACATCATGTGTATGTTGTTTGTATGATCTTATTTATGTTTAGGCATTCTTTTTACAATATGTACATTATTCCATGTGAGTGTTGTGGTATTGTTGATCTTTTCTTTGCAAACACCTATGCATATTATATTGGTTTATGTGTGATATACGATACTTTTCATGAATTGCTTTGTCTCTTTTTGATGTTGTCAAAAGGGGAGAAACATGATGAAGTTTGGATGCATACATTCAGGGGGAGTTTTTATGAAGACATGAAATGCATCGTCTCAAGTTTTGCCGTCATAAAAACAGGGAGTATGTGAGTGCAACTTTTAATTAGATGTATTTTGCATGATGTCAAAACTAAGATACTTTATTATGATGTATATTGGACGGTATCCTCTGATTCCCAATTTGCATCTTTTCATGAGGAAGCATAAAATCATTTGGAAACATGTTGTAAAAGGTTTCATGCATAAAAAATGCATCAAAATAAATTTTTGTGAAAAATCATATCATAGATCGACACATAGAAGAAAAATGTTTTCTAGGTGTCGACAAATCCGCTACATAGGTCGACTCATGTACTGCATTATTAAAGCGCGTAGGCTCTGTTAGATGTGCAACCTCTATAGGTCAGCACATGACTTTTATAGGTCAACGCATTACCTGTATAGGTCAGCACATGACCTTCGAAAGGTCGACATATGATTTTCATAGGTCGATTTGTGCAACAAAAAATTTCAAAAAATCTCAACTTTTTCAATCTTTTTGCATTCCTTTTGCTTCCAAACATGAATGCTGGTAGGAAAATAGCAAGTGTATTATTTTGCCTATTGTAGTAATAAAGGGACAATTCCTCGAATGTCGATCTCAAGGATTGCGTGACGATACAGAGTTCACAGATGATTTCAAGTTGACAAAAAGTCTTGGTAGTTTGATAAATTCTTTTTACTAAAAGTGCAATTAAAGAAAGCGAGTAAACAGTTGAACGAAGAGCAAATATAAGTAAATTGGTAGGGTTCGGTGAATGAAACTTCATGTAACAATAGTGATCTACCAATACAATAACAGTAATCCAAAACACTTGTTTTCCGGTTCTCTAGGGCATCTAATCATGAGTCTTCAATGAAAAGATATTTGATTATGTAACCTAATTACTATGTCCATAGATAATCACGTTCATTCCCAAGCATTCAAATAACAAGAATTTCCGGTTTGGATAAAATATCCATAGTCCTATGTAATATTTATTATCCAAAGTTCTTATCCAGGTCAATAAACACGTTGTTGTCCATCCAACACGTTTCTAACGGTCATAATCCGTTGGTCCGACGGATAAAGCATGAAGAACAGTAATAAGAACAAACCAATTTTAATCAATAAAAAGAGTCAATGCATTGAATAAATCAGAGTATGTTACAATCGGAATCAGGGTCACCCCCTAGCAATGAGGGGTTTAGCTACTCATAATCATAAAGAAAACAAAAATATAAATGGTTGTCATTATAGAATTTCGTGAGGAATCTATCTTCAATTGTCAGAACAACACTTGAACATATGAAACCTTGACAAATCTCTGCGCTTCCAGCCTTCAAAGTGTGTATTTTCTCCAAAAATCGTTCAACCCTGATAAAATCGTGCTCTGGCAATAAATAGGTGCAATTTGGGCTTTCTGACATTTTTGGGCTCAATACGCGTATTGCCTAAGATGATACGCGTATTGCCCTGGTACGCAGCTCTTCCTCCTACGCGTATGAGCAGAATGGCCTGTTAGCAGGCAAACCAATATGCGTATTGGCAGAAGGCCTGTTTTTTCTCCACAATTCCTCCCTCTGCTGAAATGCGTATGTTACGCGTAAGCTAGGGGCCATACGCGTATCAACTAGAGTGATACGTGTATGGACAACAGATCCTCCACTTTGTGGCTTTTTCTTCTATTTTCTCACTTCGGCTCAGTTCCGCATCTGATGCTTGATCCTCTAAGCTTCCAAACCAGTTTTTAACCTGTTAACATACCAAAGTGTAAAATATCCTCAAGAAAATCATAAGAAATGACATACTGCATATATTTAAAATACTCCAAATTCTAATTGAAAACGCTTAAAATCACACAGTTTACCTGATTTCTTTACAGTTGAATAGTGAAATACCTAGCACAAATGGTGACTGATAAGATGCACTCTTAGATAATAGAACTTCCAATGCAATTTAGAGAAATAGTATATAAAGTGCATGCAACAATTCATATTTAGGAAATATTTGAGATATCAAGTATTTCCAATCCCTTTAGGATGTTAAAAAATGGATCGTTCGCAAGAGGTTTCATAAAAATGTCAGCAAATTGATGTTTACTATTAACATGCTCAAATACAACATCACCTTTTTCAACATGGTCACGTAGGAAATGGTGACAAATCTCAATATGCTTAGTGCGAGAATGTAGCACCGGATTTTTGGTTAGATTGATAACACTAGTGATGTCGTACATAATAGGAATATGTTGAAGCTTTATATCAAAGACAAGTAATTGTTGCTTAAGCCACAAAATTTGCATGCAACAACTACTAGATGCAAGGTATTTCGCCTCGGTAGTTGACAAAGCAACAAAAAATTGTTTCTTGTTATGTCAACTTACTAAGGCATTTGAAAACATGTGGCAAGTTCTACTAGTACTCTTCTTATCTGATTTGCAACCGGAAAAATCGAAATTGATGTAACCAACCAAATTACAATCGCTTCCCTTAGAATACCAAAGGCCGTAACTAAAAATACCATGAAGGTACCTAATAATATGTTTTATAACTTTTAAGTGAGATTCTTTGGGAGCCAAATGATATCGGGCGCATATACACACGCTAAACATGATGTCCGACCTAGATGCGGTGAGTTATATAAAAGAGCTGATCATACCTTTATATTTCTTCACATCTACATCCTTACCATTCTCATTCCTTTCTAAGTGACCATTTGTAGCCATCAGAGTATCAATAGACTTTGCATCTTCCATGTCGAATCTCTTTAGCAAGTCTTTGCAATATTTGGTATGACATACAAATGTACCTTCATTCATTTGTTTGATTTGAAGACCAAGGAAGTAGTTTAACTCCTCCATAAGGCTCATCTCGAACTCTCCCTGCATAAGCTTAGAGAACTCTTCTACAAGTTGCATATTAGTTGATCCAAAAATAATATCATCGACATAAACTTGAACTAGAAGAGTATGTTTTCCTTGACACTTAATGAATAATGTAGTATCTACTTTTCCCTTTGAGTATCCTTGATCAATTAAAAATTTGCTTAATCGCTCATACCAAGCCCTAAGGGCTTGTTTGAGACCATACAAAGCTCTTTTGAGCTTGTATACATAATTTGGATACTCATGACTTTCAAAACTAGGGGTTGAGCAACATACACTTCTTCATTAATATAACCATTTAGGAATGCACTTTTCATGTACATTTGAAATAATTTAAATTTTTTAGTGCAAACATAGTCTAATAGAAGGCGTATAGCCTCAAGGTGAGCCACCGAAACATAAGTCTCCTCATAATCTATGCCCTCCTCTTGGTTATAGCCTTGAGCCACTAGTCGAGCTTTATTGCGGGGTTATCACTCTATTTTCGTCAAGCTTGTTTCTAAAAACCCATCGGGTGCCAATTACTTGATGATCTTTAGGACGAGGGACAAAGTCCCAAACATTATTCCTTTTAAATTGATAGTATCTTTAGCATTTTTAGGTTCGACTTGAGAAACGAAATTACTTATCTTAGAGCTAAACCACTCCGCTCCATCCCAATCCGCTCCACTCCATTATGTTCCATTCATTTTATGATATCCAAACACAATCTAAGAGCATCTCTAATGAGATAATTATCTTTGGTTGTTTGTGTCATATAGGCATCTCCAATGAAAGAATTATCTTTAATTATTTGTCATATTTTGTGGGTTTAAATTGCCACATTACAGTTACAAAATTCATAAACAATTTTAAGTGAATGATTATAAATAAGCAATATAAAATGAGTTTAACGATGGTGCATTGATAGTGTAAAAATTTTTTACATTGTTGTTCAATAAAAATATATTATTTTGTCATGTTATATAAATAATTTAAAATTTACAATTTGATTTAGCGGAATACATTGTCGTCATTGATTGACAGTACAAAATTATAGATCACCCCTTTCTGATATAAAATTTACCGGGTTGAGATCCACTTCATTTCTTTATCCCTCCATTTTCTCCATTACTATAGTTTTGTGTGTAAATAACACACATTTTAAAGACATGTGACATATAATTAGTATTTAGTTAATTTTATATACATAAAAATTATATTAATGGAGAAAATGAAGGCAAAAAAAAAAATGGAGTGGATTCCAACCCAAATTTACCTACCAATTTATATTATTTTATTTATACCAAATTTTAAATATTAATTTTTAAAATTTTGTTTTTATGGGTTATGAGAGAGGAGAAAACTTTCTTATAATTTGACGATGAAGTTTGACGTTGCTATGAAGTTAGGAACAGAGTAACAGAAACGAGAAAATAATCTGAATTCATTCATCAATCTATCTAAAACGGAACGGTTACAGTATCAATGGACACTCACACTCTCTCACTCTCACGTCTTCTTCCTCTTCGCGTTCTTTCATCCCAAAACCCTAATTCTTCTTCTTCTTCTTCCTCTCGCATCCCTCGTTCACACAACAACTACCATTTTCTGAAATTATTCTCCCCCACTCACATTAACCGCGTCACCACAACTCCACTAGCCATTGCAAATCCTTCTCCCACCATCCCTACAACGGATGATTCAATAACCAATCCCACTCTCAGAGAATTATGTCAATCTCATGTACCTCACCAATTACTGCAAAGGCAATTCTCTTTCCTAATTGTTACTCTTTTTTATTGGTTATCGCCAAATTATTTGATAGTTTGAATTCTAGGTTTCAATCTAATTAGTTAGATTCAATCAATTCACTTTTGCTTTAATTGCTACACGAAACTTGATACTGTGTGTGTTACATGATTGAAGTGTTATGAGTGGTTTAATATGTTTCAGAATGGAAGAGGTTGGATATGTCATGCCTACAGAGGTCCAGAAGCAAGCATTGCCTCATCTTTTTTCTGGCCGTGACTGCATACTTCATGCTCAGGTTCTTTTTACCATTATTTCTATGATTCGTATGAAGCAGTACATCAGAAGCAAGAAACTGACACTGATACGACAGACACCGATAATAATTTGTAAAAGTAAATATGTAATCACAAGTCTCGGTTTCGGACACGATACTGACACAGACACATTTTTTCAAGAGGTGTCAATATGCTATAGAAGTTCTGATTGCTGTTGTTGTGGCATTAATGATCAATGCTATAGTTTATGCTCAGCTTCATTTCTATTTTGTTTAGTCTGTTTGAGTTTGCTTACATGGATATATGTACTAACGGGATGTTGGATAGGGAAAAAAGCTCATGACTCATCATCTCTGTCCATGTGTTATTCAATATGCATCCATGAAATAACAAAAGGGAGTTGTGTAACCCTATTTTATTTCTTATCTAGACAGGTTCTGGGAAGACACTAGCATACTTGCTTTTGATATATTCCATCATCAACACTAAAAAATCTTCCTTTCAAGCACTAGTTTTGGTGCCCACCCGTGAGCTTGGCATGCAAGTAAGAATGTGTATGAGTTATGATGTCTGAGTGACATATTAATAATCTTTAATGCAATATATTGAGGGGAACACTCTTGGATAAGGCCAATAACTGAGTGCAAAAAATGTATTTAATGACAAGGTTGCCAAAGTTGCAAGGATACTGGCGGCAAAGCCAACCGGAGTTGAAGGGGAGCAGAGATCATGTACAATCATGGCTCTGTTAGATGGAGGAACATTGAAAAGGCACAAGAGTTGGTTTAAGGTGGAAATCTTTCATCATCTTCTTTGACGAGTTGTATTTTATTGTATTTTTAACCAAATAGATGGGGTGACTAACAAATGGTTGCCGCACAATGGAATTTTTAAATCTTCTTTTTTAAATTGTTGGAGATCATTTGACAGCCTGATGATTTTCTTTGGCTCATTCAAAATATTTGCCACTGATACAGCTCCTTCATACTCGTTTGTTAGTTTTTTCTATTCCATTTTTTGCAACCATGTTTCGCTGATATTAATTGATGCAAAATACTATCGATATTCAAATGTCATTTAATTTTAGGACACTATTTTTTGCTTATGCTATAATTCTAAATGATTTAATCTGCTGTGTTTGTTTAGATACAATTATTGTGTAGTCAACCTTGTACATCTGCCCGTTGGCCAAATTGTGGCATATATGTACCCTGCACTTGGGGGAGGGGGGGGGGGGGGGGGGGGGGTTCTTATATTTCATTGGATATATGTTTGTGGGAAAATGGTTTGAATTTCCAAAAGTTATATAATAGCTTTGATTTTTATCTTCTGTTTACATTGATTTTTATCTTTTGTTTAACTGGTCACTAGCTGCACTAGTATTATAGAGATGTCCCCTTTCCAGCTCATTCTGGCTTTGATTAACTTTCTATAATTTTAGGCAGAGCCTCCAGCAATAGTAGTTGCAACAGTTGAGAGTTTGTGTCGAATGCTGGAAAGACATCTTTTTTCACTTGGAACCTTGCGGGTGTTGGTTGTTGATGAGGTACAAGTTTTCCTCTTTGCATTTAAAATGGCCTATCTTTGTGCACTTTTTCAGCAATTGTATATTTGTACTGTTTAATGAACTACGGAAGCAGAATGTCAGATTTGCCTGTCTTTGTGCACCTTTTCAGCAATTGTATATTTTTATTGTTTAATGAGAACTATGGAAGCAGAATGTCAGATTTTCCTGTGTGTGTTTCAAAACATAATGCTGCACTACCATCCATCTATAATTGCTTCGAAAACGATATATAGTATAGTGTAGTTAGTCACACTGTTCTCATCCATCAAGTAAAGTAAATTAAATGCACTTAAAGGCTTCGTTCGGGAGTTTGGAGGGGAAGGGAGGGGATGACTTTGAAAATAGGGAAGGATTGAGTGAAAAGAATAAAAGGATTTAGGTGGGGAGGGTTTTGGGGGATTTATTTTTATTCAAAAACCAAAATCCCCCTAATTTTCGGGAACTAAAAAATTGTATTGGAGGAGGGTTTGGAGGGCTTAGACAAATTTTTCAAATATAATAATCTATGTTGTTATAGTATTTAAAAAATTAAAAATATTAATGATAAACACTTTTTTACCATTTTATACAAAATTTCTTTCAAAAAATGTTAAAAGGTTTCTCTATATTTTTTTAAAAGTTATTTTTCTGAATCCCCTCCCCTCCCCTCCAAATTCCCAAACAAAGCCTAAAAGTATTTTTTTTTTTGTTGCATATTTGATTTCATTATTTCCACATTTCCATAAGTGGGAAGGGGGTTGCTGACACCTTTTGGGAATTTTAAGTTGAATTGAGAAATATAGTAAGTATAGAGCCTGGAATTATATAAGCCCTGCCAACTTCTTTTTGTACTCCCTTTGAGCAATTTTGTCAGTATTTATAATACTTTTTATTCTTGTTTGCTTAGGTTGACTTCATTTTCAGTTCTTCAAAGCAAGTGAGTTCTCTCCGGAAGATTTTGACCTCGTATTCATCCTGCAATAACCGCCAGACAGTGTTTGCAAGTGCATCTATACCACAACACAATCGATTTCTTAACGAAGCTATGCAGCAGAAATGGACTAAGGTATATTAATCTAAATCATCTGATTCTTTGTTTGTCTCTTAATACCTTAAATTCATTCTGACTTTATTTGTTTTTCAGAGGGATGTGATCCATATTCACGTTAATCCAGTGGAGCCAATGCCATCTCGCCTATATCACAGATTTATAGTAAGAAATCTTGAGTATTAAAGAGACTTGTATTTCTAATATTCTACTACTTAAAATCTTTTAATGCACTTGTTGCCCATCTTATCTTCCCTTCACTCTTTGACTTTGAAAAGATATAAAATGGCTTAAAATTTAAAAGCATGCCTATTTAAAACTTCAATCGCTTACTTTTTTGTAGATCTCTTATTTATTTTTTGAGTATTATAAATTTTCTAATGCTATTCAAATTTTCAATAATCAGGTATGTGATACGAAAAGAAAACTACAAACCCTGTTATCCTTGATTCAATCTGATGCTCCTGAGTCTGGCATTATCTTTGTTGGTGAGCAGGTATGTTGCAAATATCTTTCTTATATCACCTCCTTCAATTGGAGTATGCATTGAGTATAGTCTTTGGCCTGCTAGTGGAAGGAAATCTACTTTATAATTAGTAATGAGTTACCAAACTTCAAATTTGTAATAAGTAAACCGTGAGATATATGCATCTAACAACTTGGGAACCTTAGCAATGTGAGATTCTAATACAACTTCAATACCCACTTTCAAGTTTGGTGTGGGTCAAATTTCCACAATGTGGTCCTTAACTAGGCTCTAATACCATTTTAGGTTTCTATATTTGGCCTAACTCATCCTCACAAACCCATACTGTGAGATGAGGAGTCTTGCTTTTTATAAACTCTTATCAAACTTTATATCTTTTTTATGTGGGACTTGGGTTTTCCTAGTCTTACCTTCTCACGCTCACTAATGGGCTTGGCGCGTGAATATAAATGATGAGAGGTCTGAATAGTATCAAACCTAAGTCCCACATAGGATAATGATAAGGCCTAAAATAAGTTATACTTTATATAGAGTGACACTTCTCACCTAACAAGACGGTTTTGTAAGGATGAGTTAAGCCTAAATTTTTTTTTTTATCAATGAGTTAGGCCTAATATAGAAAAACTTATTATCTTCTAACACAATTTGAATTCCATATTCATTACATGCTTGGGGATTTATATAGAGATCAATTGTCTTGATTTTCAAGCTAGTGGTATAGGGCTTTGGTTGCTTGCATTATTTATAACTTGACAGTGACACCATTGAAATTCTTAGCCCAAACATGTGAATTTAAGTCTGTTTGAATTGGCCCGGGTATTATGATAAAGTTATCAATCGATTAACATTACATATTCTATTATGCAGTCTGAAAAGTCAAAAAAGACTGGAAATGCTGCATCCACATCCCTTGTGATTGACTTTCTAAAGACATCATATCATGGTTCTTTAGATATCATCCTTCTCGAACAGGACATGAATTTCAATTCACGAGCAGCTTCTCTGTTGGTAAGTGTCATTCATTATATTGATATATGGATAGAAGATCTTATTGGTAATCTCTGACTTTTCAGTTTATATTGCCATCCAAATTTGTTTTACTATTGATCCATGAGTGAATAATAATACAATGCAACCTATATCTGAGTTTGAAACAATAATTAACATACGAGTCAAATTTTGACTCTTGCTCCGATAACCAAATTGCACCGGTTCATTCTACCTGATTAACTGGGAACCATTGGTTCGAGGATGGACAACATTTTAATAAAATCTTTGACATTATTGCCTTGGAGAGGAAGGGTGGGCTTTCAGCTAAATATTAAGAGAAATCAACAGGGTGACTGGCTGAGGACAATGTTTATCCTCAAGAGCATGGTAGTCAGAGTCGCGATCCAACTCGTAGGATCGGACGATTTTGCAATCTTGTAACCCCCTCTGTGTTGCAGTCTGGCCGGAATCGTGTTTTGGTAGGCGCGGTCGGAATTTCCGCGAGAACGCGTAGAAACGGAGGAATCGCTGCGAAATTGTTTGTGCAATTAAGTTTTCATGTTCTGGCCTGCTGGAGTTGTATGGTTTTTGTTTTAAAGTTTTTTCAGTCGTGTTGTTACTGTTCTGGTCTGGTTCTTTTTAGATGTTTTTAATTGTTATTTGCTACTGTTTTAGGGGGTTTTAAGATGTTTTTAGGTGTGATATGCTACTGTTTTGAATGTTTGAGTTGTTTTGAGTTAGTTTCTATGAATATTATCATTCTAAATTTCAGTTTTTTTAAAAGTAATTTAGTGTTATTTGGAGTTTTTTTCCCACTAAATTATGTCGCTTCATATGCATATTATGAATCTATATGCAATATATATGAATTTCGAAATTTGGTAGTATTTTACGATCCATATTACGATTCCCCGATTCATGATCTTGTTACCCCTACTCGATCTTGCATAGGATCTCGAGTCTGACTACCTTGCTCAAAGGGACATTTGGCTCAAGAGTTGTGCTAATACTTAGCTTTAAAATTAGCAGATGTTTAATGTGCATGCTATTGTTGTAGATTTAAACCTCATCAAAATACACATTGAGCAGATATAAACCTCATCAAAATACACATTAAGCAGATTTAAACCTCATCAAAATACACATTAAGCCTGAGACTACGGTCATAAGTATGCTAGTTTAAGGATGGCATTGTTAAAATGTGTATGCAAGTCAAGTTATGTGTAAAAGGGATGGTAACGACCGGTCTCTGTTTTTCTTTGAATCAGGAGGTTAAGAAAGGTGGCGGCTATCTTCTAGTGGCAACAGATGTAGCTGCTAGAGGAGTTGACTTTCCAGAAATGACTCACATATACAACTTTGATCTGCCAAAAACTTCCATTGATTATCTTCATCGAGCAGGGAGGACTTGTAGAAAACCCTTTTCTGATGTTAACTGTTCTGTCACAAGCATTATAATCTCTGAGGAGCGGTTTGTTCTGCAGGGATATGAAAATGAGTTGAGGTTTGTCTGTGAAGAGCTTATTCCATAAACCTTGCTGGAACTTTACATATTTTAATCTGATCAACTATAATAATGTAACGTGCTTCTAATTGTATTTATCTGAACAGTTCCTGTTTTTTGTTAATTATTATTTCTTGGATATTCTTCAATATGTGAGTGCTAAATTGGCGGGGCATTTTCTTTCAAAACTTGATAAAATAAAAAAAATATCGAAAAGACTTTTAAAGAAAAACAAATAATAGAAGCTCTCAATATAAGTGCCTATGTGTGGATTCTTTTTCCAAAATAAGAGCTTACTTGAGTAAACTAATTAATTTTCGAATATTATGTTTTTATAAGCTATTTCAGAGTTAATGGAATAAGTTGAAAATAATTTGAGGATATCATAAGTCATTTCTTTTAATCATTTGCATAAATGATTATCCCATAAAACAAATAATACACACTAAGTTTTTTTTTTCCAGATACACTCTAAATTCAGAAGCTTGACCTGCTTCCCCCCTCTATGGGCCATATAGCCATTAATCTTAAATCACTACTTTTTTTTTTATTTTTAATTTTGAATAATTTATTTAATTAATACTAAAATATCTGTTGTGTTTTTTATATTAAAGTAGTAATTAACATTAAAAAGATAAGCAATTAAATATATTTTTACAAAATCTAATTTTTTTTTTTATAATGAATCCATAGAGTAAAGAGATTGCAATTAAAGTATGAATAACAAATGTGTAATATGTTTTATTGTGTAAAATATGGACTTGACAGGATTGGAATATAAGATGGATGATATGCGAATATATTTATATCCATTGTGTTTTTTATTTTTATTTTTACAATTCATAAAAATAAAAAAATCTCATCCTCAAATCAATGGCAAAATGGTTCAAATAAATGATCGGTGACTTTATTATATGACAAGTCCATCTTCAATTGTTGAGTTTTTCAATACAACAGTGATGCCTGAACGGATGTAAAACCCTTCTGCAGATCTATCAGCTTCTTGTACTCCCTGCAGGTAATACAATTAGAAAATTTACTACATGTTTTTGCTTACTTTTGATTTATTTGTTTATATGGTGAGGAATGTACAGTAACATTCTTTCACTGTCAATTAGTTTTAGAAGCATACCTCTGAGTTTGCTATAATAACATTCTTTCCGATTCTAGCATTTTTGTCAATAATACAATCCCTGCAAATATATGAGAAGAAATGAGTGTGTATAGCAATAACGGTAACTAGTGTTACTATGAGAGTGAGAGTTGTCTTTCATACTTGATCTTTGTGTTTTCTCCTATTCCTACTGGAACTCTTCCTTCAGCTAATAGTGCTGCCACTTCTTCCTCAGTTTCATAGAAATCAGCACCAAGCATCACTGTGTCCTGCATACCAATATAACAAAATAGAGCTAGTTGAATGCACATGTAAAACCTATGGTAGTGCTGATAACAAAATGCACTGTCATATTTTGTATTTAGTAGAATGGTTACACCGAACCTTTAAATTGACGTTTGAGTTTATTCTTGATCTGATTCCAACTACACTATGCTCTATGAAAGCATTATTCACAAAGCTTCCATGCGATATGATTGAATCAACAATCTGCATAAGGATACGTACTAGTGAAATTTAAGATTTGATGGCAGAAAAGTTGTAATCACCTATGCAGGGGGAAATAAAGTAAATGGAAATGTAGAAATGACCTTGCTATTATCAATCGTCGAAGGTGGTAAGTTTCTCCTTGATGTGTACATTGGTTTTGCTGCATCATAAAAGCTAAACTTGGACGGCTGAAAATTAAGAAAGTAAGCTTTTCTAAGTGGCTAACATTTTATATCTCAAAACCATTGCAGAGAAAATTGTTTTCAAATCTCAATGAAAACTAGTTAATTCAAATTATGTTTAATAGTTAAGTTTTTACAGCTGAACTTGTTGCATTCATTGTCTTGAAACTCAATTAATTGTTGCTGTACATATAAATCTGACACTCACATGCTCAGTGAGGGCTAGATTTGCCTCAAAGAATGATCTGATGGTCCCTATGTCTTCCCAGTAATCATTGAAGAGATAAGCCTGCATTGAAATTTTTTCCGTAAATATCCATAATAAGTGAAAGTGAACTTTCTGCTGGATGCAAAGGTAAGTTTCCACATTCTCTTCTATTCTTTTCAGTCATACCTTCATGTAAAATTCCTTAGCTGAGGCAGGAATGACTTCTGATCCAAAGTCATTTGCAGTCGGAAAGCGCCATCTAAATTAAATCAATTGGTAGCACTGAGCAAACAAGCTTTGCAATAGGATCAACATATTTGTGAATATTTCTGTGTTTAAGAAAATACATTGATAGATGACGCGAGCCACAAGAAAAGCCTAACATTTTGACAGATAATAATCCGTACCTTAATAGATTAAGAAGTATCTCCTTCTTGAAGACGTACACTCCCATCGAAGCAATGTATGGTTTTTCTAGAGCCTCGTCTTTTGAAAGACCAAGAACAGTTGTATCCACTTGCTAAATTATGAAGCAGTATTAGCTGTGAATCTGATTTTTGAAACTAGTTGGATTTATGATAAACACGAGTCTTACCATTGCTTTGAGATCTGCTCCTTTAGGCTTTTCACTGAATGAAAGGATCCTTCCTTTATTGTCTATCTTCATTAGACCAAAATCTGAAGCTCGGCTATAATAGTTGCATAGTAGAGTTTTAAACAGTAAGATAATATGATAGTATTAATAAGCTAAATCTTACAACTTATCGAAAGCAACCTACCTGTCATCCATTGGCAGGCAAGAAAGAGTGATGTCTGCACCGCTCTCTCGATGATCCTGGATAAGAAGGCGAGTATGAACAAAACATCTTAGAGTAAATGATCTGAATGAATTAATTGAATTGAAAGAGAAAATAATTGCTTGAATTACATGACATGATGCCTTACTTGAACAAAGTCCATATAGTCCATTCTGTAAAGGTGATCCCCGGAAAGAATCAAAACATCCTCAATGTCCTTACTTCTGGGATCCTACATCATGAGATATACCACATAGAATTTAGGTCTGTTTGGATCGGCTTATTTGAATTTATCCTTTAGCATATGCATTTGTGAGTCTATTTGAGAGAATTTATAGAAACAGTTTATGACATTCTAGAAGTTGTTTTTAGCTTACTTTCATAAGCTCTTAAGGATTAGCTTATGATTTATATGAAATTATTTTACGTATAATTTATCTTGTTATAAAAATACTTAATTTAATAAATAATTATGCAATAAGTGCTTAACTAACTTGTTTACTGCTGTTTTCTTAATTATTTTAGGCTAACAAATAACAATACCTCAAAGAGCCAGTGGAACTGCCTCACAGCATCAGCAGTACCCTGAAACCACCTTTTACCTTGTTCCCCTTGAGTTTGAGTTGCTGCAAGAACCTGAAACAGAACAAGCAGTCTTAGATAAAAGATAATTTAGAAATCAATTTTCGTCTGCTAACCAGCCACAGATACTAGTTGACTTAGGATGCAAGTAATGTAAGAAAAAGACGCGTCATCGATTGAGAGATACCTCAACAGAGCCATCACCAAAAGTGATGCCAGTACCCGAGTTGTAAGCACGGGAAATATGTCTGTTGAGTGAGGCTGAATTAAATTGAGTGAGAATGTACACTTTGTTGATACCACTGTTGATGCAATTACTCATCGGCACATCAATAAGTCTGTAAGCACCTCCAAGTGGAACCTACCATAAGAAACCCCCAAAGAAGATATTCAAATTCATATCTTACTGCATTACATTATGCAGCTGAAGAGCACTATAGCACTGATACTTCTTCATATTATGATATGTGCCGGTGCCTAATATAACACCGAAACATGTGACTGTGTCTAGTGTCTATATCATGTCTGTCCAAGTGCTTCGTAGGACTAATCTATAGAATTAAGAATTTGGAGAAGGAATAAGAATAGAAAAACTACTTACAGCAGGTTTGGCTCGTCGCTTAGTGAGAGGGAAGAGACGGGTTCCAGCTCCTCCACCGAGTATAACTGCTACAACTGTCTTTGGGTCCCTTTTTGACATATATATATCTTTCAACTGCACTATCCCATATTCCCGTTCAACATATTGAAATTTTTCGATTATGTAGTTTATTGAGTATTGTAAGCAAATTAAGTAGTAGTTAATTCAGATAAACCTTGGATTCGTTAGCCACATCAGCAGTGAGAGACATGGATATATTTTTCCTAACAACATTCTTAGTGCAACCATTGCTACCAACATGAAGCTCAATCTTTCGTCCCATCATTTCTCCATTACAAAACTTCAAAACCTTCATGTTCCTACTAGTCATTATTGTTGCCTCGCGTAACTTGACCGTAGACGAAAGCATTATCTGACCTCTGGCAGAGACTGCCATATTTTCCGGTGGCCGGAGGAAGGACAAAATGGGAATTTGTGTTATCAATGAAGAACCTTGTCCTGTACGTGTTTTAAATCAATGTCTTAGACATGAAGGTTGTGTAGTGTGTGGAGTGAGTTGAGATTTTGTTACATACATGCATAGATATCATTGGACATTTTGTGGATTGGGCCACGTTATCCAAGTTCAACTGTATCCACCAGTTTTTTTTTACAAAGAAGAACGCGTGTAATTAAATGACAATAAAGTCCTCGTAATATTTTGTAGCTTAGTATGATCCTTTAACGAATATCCTATGGAATTAGCTCTGTCGTTATTTTGCCGATTTTGGACTAACCCCTGATGAGAAAGATTCGTTGAAGTGCAACAATTAGGATATCTTTTCTAAATTGAAAAATATCTTAGATATATTCAAACTTTAAGAAACCACGAGACTTTTTTACTCTATCGACAATTTATGGGTTTTGGGTCATTGAACATTCTAATAGTAAAGGGAAACCCCTTTCCATTTTTAGTAGTGTCTTCCACACTTTTGAAAATTTAAAAATGTCATTCATGTGTCTGGAGCTCCGAATGCATCCAAAATAATATCAAAATGCATTTTTTTTTTAGATTTACCATATTTTGCAAAAAAAAAATGTAGTTTAAAGATGCATCTTCGTATCATATTTGAAGATGTATCTATGAAGTAATCCATGCATTCATTATTTGTGGGTTTATTTATTGAGCTGATTAAATTAACGACTCAGTGATATTTTTGGAAATGAATATCCAAAAATGTTCAACGGAAAAGTGGAAAATTGGATAAAACACCACCTTGCATGATCTTTTTCTCCATACACGAACAACATTCCATTTTCGAAATCTTTAAAAAAATTTCTCTCATTCTCAATCAACTATTCAACACCAAAACATCATTATTTAATTTTTAACACACTAAAGGGAGCAAAACAAGTTGGAATTGCAGATAAAATTCATTCATTTCATCCTTCCTTCTTTGCATTAATCTTGTTATTGAGATGAAAAAATGGATGTTGAATTCAAATATACATCTCCGAACAAAGTTTGGTGTGATCCTAATGCATCTTCGGATTGTCCAGTTAGTTTGATTTTTAACACTGGTTTTTCTATTATTGATGGTATTAGATATGGTGCACCCAAATATATTTTTCAAAGCTATTGTGAGTGTGGATGTTAAATCGGTCGAAGTGAAGAATGATATTAAACCGGATGAAGTGATTTATGATGTTAAAATCAAATGAAGCAAATAATGATGTTAAACTGGGTGCTCGACCGGTTGTTGTCGAGGTAGATATTATGCTCAATTTACAAATAAAGAAGTGTTTATTGTTCGTGAACATATGCTATAATGGGTCCGTAGAGAGGTCGGAAAATTGGGGTTTGGTGTTGTCATTAGAAGGTTCAACAATGGTTCGGATAAACGATAAGTATTTGTAACAATGATATGTGAAAGAAGTGACACGTACCAATCAAGGATTATGAGGTTAAAACGAGATGATAATGGACCGGGGAAATGTGAGTGTTTGTTTAAATTGTGTGGATACCGTATGACGGATGAGACATGGAAAATTAATGTGATTTCCAGTATACATAATCATGTCTTGATTGACAAGCTAGCTGATCATCCCATTGCATATACAACTTGGTGACGCCGAAAAACATACTTGCATTTTTGAAACGAAAAATCCTCTAAATGTTTTAAATATTAAGCAAATATACAACATGCGTGCTCGAGGCAACAAGGCAGTAAGAGAATCAAGATCTGAGATGCAACATCTCTTGAACCTTTTGGAAGATGATGCCTATGTTTCGAGGTATAGAGTTTGTGAGGATAAAATCACCGTTCGAGATATATTTTAGAGTCATCCCGATTTCGTTAAGTTTTTCAACAACTTTCCCTCCGTGCTCATAATTGACTTAACACACAAAACAAACAAGTATAGACTTTTATTTTTGAAAATTGTTGGTGTTACTTCTACAGATGACTTACTCAGTCGGTTTTTCATTTTTTGAATCTAAAAAAGAGGACAACGTTACATGGGCTTTAGAGATATGCAAGACTATGTTGAAAGACCAAGAAAACACGCCACAAGTCATAACCACCGATTGCGACATGACACTAATGAATTTTGTTGCAAGTGTTCCCTACATCGTCTGCATTACTTTGTAAGTATCACATAACTAAAAATCTGAGAAGTCGAGTAAAGCCCGCGGTTGGCATGAAACAAGTCAAACGTGTGTCATACCCCAATTTTTTTCGGACATTTTAAAAAAATTTCATGCATATGAATGTACTTCACTTTGCATCATCTGCATAACATAACATACAGTTTATCATGCATAATACCTAAAATGTCTACTAGAATATATGTTAGGATCTACAAACAGATCGATTGAATTGTTTCTCAACTGCGCGTAAAATCAGTAGGCGAAAAATTTAAAAATCAGACTTGTAGATGCTAGTATTATTAATATACAGTTCGCGTAGTTTAACTTGCGTGCTCATTTTATTTTTTCGACTCCTTTTTTGGTTGCATTTTGATAAGCTTAAACTTTTTTAAACGATTATTTTTTATTTCAAAAGTTGATCAAAACCTATATGTTTTTCAAAAGTTTATTTTGCGTTGATCATTTTAGTGCATTTATTTTATTTTTTTTAACATTTTTGCATCCAATTTTTATTCTTTTTTAATTTATTTTATTTTTTTAACATTTTTGCATCCAATTTTTATTCTTTTTTAATTTTTTAATTTTTGTTTTTTAACCAAAATAATTGTTTGATTTAATAAGAATTAATTATGTTGTTAGTATGATTTCATAGTATGTGGTTTGTTTTTAATTCAATTACCAAAATCTATTTTCATAATTCAAAAAATAGTAAGAGAATTGGAAAAAAGATCAAAAAGATTAATTGCTAGCTAGAACATAGTACCTCACTAATTGAAAAAACTTGGTAATAGATTGATTCTTTTAGCACACCATGAAATGCGTGGACCCTCTATTTCATAAACTCTCTCATGAAAGCAGAAAAAAGATCTGACCTTCCCTCAAATCCTAATTAATTGACAGCTAAACAATTATTTCCCTTCTCTCACATAAGAATTTGCCTCTCACTCAATAACAAAAGGACAAGCATAACTCTCTCCACTCTCTCCACTGACCCTCATTACTTTTCATGATGAGAATTCCACTCATCACAACCCTAAAATTCTCTCTCCATATACATGTACCCTTCTTTTCTCATTTTACTCCTCACCTACATAAAACCTCTCTCATAAATAGAGACAAAAAGGAGCAATTATAAATGCTCGTTTGAGAACTAACGTGAGAAAAGAAAATCACCCTCAATAACGATCACCTAGAAAACAAGCTCTACTCAAAGAAAGTGATTTCATTGTATACATTATCTATTCAAATATTAAAAACTTCTGTTTTTTCTTAAACATTTTCACATCCTATGTTAGAGTGATATTTGCAAACACAAACAATCATCTCTTATTTGATTGTACTTCTTCAATGGACTTGGTTATAGAATGATTTTTGAGAAGACATAGAGACTCAATTAGAAACATATCTTTGTGTTTGAAAAATATGGTATAGATCAGAAAATATTTTAATAAATTTTGTAATTAGTTGGATTATAGTAAAAATATTTCAAATGTAGGGAATTGAACGTAACTTCATGTTATATTATGCGTGTGTGCGCGCGTGTTTTTCCCATGAATTTTCTTTTTTTCTTTTTATTTTAATAGTAGTGTTTTTTTTACTCTTGGTTTAGATATTGTTTTAATTATCTTTTAGAATAGTTAACTCTTGGGGCTTAATTAAGCAAGTTTGCATTCTATTTTAGACTATATGATATTATGTAATTTTGTCATTGATTTTGATCATTGTAAATGGTGCATCAGTATAATATAATTGTTTGATTTTTCATTGCGTTGTGATTTTAGAGTTTAAATTAATTTAACTTTTAAATATTGTTCAGACACATATATTTGGTTGTAGAGTAATTCTTACATAAATCTACTTTAAATTAGCTTAACTATGTACTAAATTTATTAAGTATAACAAGTGTGAGTAATATGTGTAATAGTCCCACAATATTCAATGCTCCATAGTGAAAAATCTCCCCCAACAGTGGTATGATGAACCTTTGGTTCGAGTGAAGGACCGACTCACTTGTATCAAAAGTATTCCCACGGGCGGTGGATTGATTGTCCCGTTAAAGAGTGTCAACGACGGTACGAGTGTATGTGGATGAAAAGAACTTCCATATGAGGAGAAGTAGTGTGGTAGACTCACACTTGATGGGGAATGTTGAAAAAGAATTACAAGTGTGAATAGTGTGATAATAGTCTCATATTGACTAGAAATGTGGAGACTTGAGCATTTATAAGTGGGAGAACTCATACACATGTGACCTTAAGGTTTTGGGTGAATATGTGTTGTGTCTCTTAGAAAGGTTTTGCTTAAAGAAAGAAACTCCTACAATATTCAATGCTCCCAAGTTGAAAAATCTTCCAACTCACTTGTATCGAAAGTACTCCCCCTTCTTAAGGGAGAACATTGCAGAAGCGTTGTGGATAAACTCACACTTGAAAGGGAAGAGAGTGTTAAAGATAACAAGTATGAGTAGTATGTGTTATAGTATCCTAGATTTCGAGTTATTTCCAGTCACGTGACTTTCTCTTAGGCCTTCTTACAATCGAACTCTATCTTTATTGCTTAGTTCTAGATTTCTTTCCTCCTCACATTCGAGTTTTCATCTAATTAAAATAGATTGAATTATCCTAAGTATTCTTTAGTGTTGACTCTATGATAATTTGGATGATAAAAACACCTAATTCAAGCTTAGCTCCTTTAGAAAAGTTAACAAAAATAATTTTTAGTACAATTTCAATAAAAACAACAATTTATAATATATGTGAACAAGTGCGTGTATCAGACCAAATCTCGTGCGAACGTACACGTTTTTT